CATCGCTCTATTTAATAGAATATATTTTGCCAAGCAACAAAAGAGAAATAACACCTAGAAACAATTTATTTTGTGAGGGACTTACACACCGGAAGTCGTCTGTTTACTCAAACTGCCTCCCTACAAGCGGGTGGTCACGCTCTTGCAAATTCACTTGACAATTTTTTATTTGGTGAGACCGGACCGAGCCTGAGCCGAACTCTGTATCGAGCGTTATCGTTGTGCTTAGCGAACACACAAACTTCTAACGGTGATGAAAACCATGACGGTAGCCTACCGTTATGGTTACCGGAAAACCTACCGTGTGCTCCCCGAACAGAGACTAATGTACAGCGAGCTGTATTGTAAGAAACGTTACTGCAGATTTATCGGAGAATGGTCAAATAACCTGTCTAGATAGAGGATAGGTGAAATTAAAATCTCTTTCGGTTTGCCGAAGTATCTCTGCTCCAAGCTGCGTTTTCGCAAAGCTGTTATTGTTGTTTTCACTAAGACTGATGATCAGGACAAAACGAAACGCTTGTAGAATAATCTAGAAAGAAGGGTGGACATATTTATACAGCGAACCAGCACGCTTCATTACCCCCAGTTGCCAAAACTGGCAGCACAAAACAACCAAAAGTGTTACCGCCGGCCGCCGGCATGGACGACTTTCATTGCAACGTTTTTCGGCGTGGACAACATGAATTTTGTATTAAGTACAAGATCTGTACTGCGCGCAGTGCCCCATAGTTCTCAGATCTCAATAACCAAAACACTTCATTCTAAAACTGCCAACGCCGAAAGACCGGCCTCGATCCTGAACTGGATACTGGGTAACATGATTTTCGTTTTTAAACTCGTTTAACCGGAACCTCGCCTGCACGATGGCCGCAAGCGACCCAAGCTACAACCTCTGTCCAGTGAGGAAAATTGGTAGATGAATGAGGGACCGAGTTACGAACACTGTCTAGTCCACGTGTCTAGTTCAGCCTTTTTTCAGTTTTTTTGGTAGGTGACATCGAGCTTCCGAATTAAAGTCCTTCCTTCAGAAATTTTACAACAGCTGCTAATGTAAGGGCAGTTGATGCATTTACTAAGGAATTAAACGAATTTATTCGTTCACACCGGCCTTGAATCACAAGAAACGCGGAGGCGAAGCCGCAGCTGTTTCTTGTGAGTTAAATATGATCGATTTACAAATACATCTGCACAAGCCGAGTCGTTTTTATCGCCAGCTTGCCAATGTATTGAAGGAAAAAGATTGTTCTCCGCCAAAATATAAACCTGCAGTCAAAATCAATAAAATTAATATAAGGCACCGAAAGCCCGTCGAAGGCATACTCAATTTACATATTGGCCATTCGTCATTTCCAGCGATGATGCGGTGAACTACAGAAACGTTTCATCAAATTTCGAACAACAAAAGATAAAATTATTTTCAAACATTTACCAGAAATTCTCTTAATGTCGGGCCAGCTCCAAAGTACAACACAGCTAAAATTGCGCAGTGTCGGTAATTTTAGCGGGACAAACAAATAACACCTCCTAACCTCTGCTTGTTGCACGGATCTCCTCCAGAATCGAGCCAAAGCCGCCAAACGGCGAACCAGGCTCGTGAATGTTCCACACCGTATACCTTATGCGCCCGTCGTTCTTCAGCCTCCTCACGAATGGCCCTCCCCATGCCGCATACACAGGAGGGAAGCCGTGGTCAATAATTACACTTGTAGATGTCCATTTGTATTTGTTTAATATTTCAAGAAATACTGCAACCGCATCGGACATCAACATAAAACTTGTGGCTACACCCATTGGGTAAGGCAAATGTTGTGAACGTGTGGGTGGACTGGCGCCTGCACTAAAAACGAATAATAATCGATATCTTACTCAGCACTTACTCAGTCAGCAGTGCTACTGCGAAGTTTAATACCTACGCCGAAATCCATAAGGCATTCCACTCTGCACAGAGACGAGTTAATTCCAAATCTCCAATAATTTCGCAGCCTAAAATTCCGCGAATTCGCATCATGGAAAACGGACAATTACTATATGGCAATCTTTACCCGACAAAATCGTCACACTAACATCATGTTCGCTTCTTTCACGATAATAAATATCGGCTGCCAAAGCAGAAACGTTGCCGGCAAGGTTAGCACAACTCAGATCTCGAATATACTCGATACCGAAATTTATGGTTCCGTTGTATCTTTTGTGCACATGCTCAACAGCTAATGATATCGCTGGCGCAATATATGGTAGCGCCACATAACCCTCGGTTGTGACGGTAATGCCGGCCACTATTAAACTAACATTGACAACAGGGTGATCTAGCTTTCGGTCCTCCAGATTAAGCACCGGATGAATATACGCCATGACAACGAAGATGGAAAACGGAGCCCATAAAAACGATAGAACCATTTTGGTACCAGTAAACATGAAAGCCGGTTTGCTGACAAACGTATCACAGATTTTGTCGAGGATTTAAAATACGGCAATTATAATTCATACACTTATGAAATCTTGACCCAAACAATCGGCAAAGGTTGAGTAAAATAGTTATGTAACCTTGTAGATTCTGTGCCCAGTGTACTGAAGAACAGCACAATAAACGACACCAAATGTATTTTTGCAGTAGTGAAGAAGAGTAGAGTTGAATGTTATTGATTATCAATTTTCTGGTAAACATGTAAATTTCTAGACTTAATCAGTGGCTTCTCTGGCTGTTGCCCTTTTTCCTGTACTAGAAATTGACGGCGTTACGCACGTAAGAACATCAACGCAACAGTAATAAGGATAACCACACTTACATGGATGGAATCCTCTGAGCTATCCTACGATCTTCCTTTCTTATGATTTTTAACGGCTGTAACACCGCCGTGGCGAAGCTGACCACCACAGAAAAGTATCGAAAACCAAACGGAGCGCGTGTTTCGGCTATTGTACTAATTATACTTGGAAGTGTCCATTCGGCATTCTTCCATATTGAATACCTTTATTTTGCAAAAACACGCTTTTTATAATTCGTTGAAAATTGCGGTGCATACTGTATTTGATAACTTGCCTCTCTGTATCTGTCTAAATAGGCGACCAACGTCGTATTACATATATAGCATACTTCAAAAGAAATTATTGTATCATCAGCTGCAGACGAGAGAGTGCTTATAAGTGCTGCACCAGATCGCCATACAACCTTTTGTCTATTAAATTCGTACGCGTATCGATACGGGCATGTATTAAAGTACAGTATTAATACCAATCCAGCTTGTTGGATGACGTAAGAATACTATCCAGATCCAGATTTATGTTGCCCCGAATGGGATACACCAGAGCCACCAAACAAGAGAAGACCGCCCAAAACCAATATTATAATTATTCGTGTAGCCCGTAGTGGAAAAGCCGGCCAGATAGTGTCATTTCTTTCAAAACAACTCCAGCTTCGACCGCCAAAACGGAAACTGAATCAGATCGTTAGCAACAAATGTAACGAAATTATTAAGGGTAATTATCTAAACCAAGCGATGTTGCCACGTAAACCAACTGAAAAACTTGAAGAAGTATTACAGTTATTCAAACTAGCTTCCACATTACTGTAAAATAAATTATTTAAGCAGGGCAGCCAGGTGAATGACTCTGGGTGAGCGGGAGACCGAGCTACCGGTACTGCAGTACCGGTAGCTCATGCAAATTTATTTTGCTTACAGTAATGTGGAAGCTAGTTTGAATAACTGTAATACTTCTTCAAGTTTTTCAGTTGGTTTACGTGGCAACATCGCTACCGGCACTGTCCAGTGTACGAGGCCCGTTGAATGAACCAGCGACCAAGCTGCCACTAGTGTCCAGTCTGCAGAGCCCGTTAGCTGAACGGTAACCAAGCTGCCGCTATTGTCTAGTGCACAAAGGCCGTTAGGTGAACGAGTGACCGAGTTAATATTGCAAGCCGTTACTGTCCAGTGTATGGACCCCGTTAGGTGAACGAGCGACTGAGCTACCGGTACTTTCCAGTGTACAGATGCTGTCCGGTGAACGACTGACCTTGTTACAGTTACTGCCAGCGTACGGAGCCCAAGAGATGAGCGGGTGATCAAGCAACCATTATCGAGGATCATCAGGTTGAGGTTCAGAGGATCATGAATTCAGTTGTGAGAAGTCATGTTTCGACCAAATGTTCTATACTAATAAATATTCATTAAAAATTAAATAAACTGGCCGTGGACCACAAAAAACGCGGAGGCGAAGCCGGGGCTGTTTCTTGTAATTAGTTAATTAACTCCTAGTACTAGTCGTACATACACAGTACTCAAACAAACTTCAAAAGGGTTAACTGTGCTATGTGCAATAACGCTTTTTTTCAAATGCAAATAAAACAGGTGCCCTATTATTTATCAAAACAGGAGCAAGTGCTGCATTTTCACATTAAAATCTCGCTGACTCAGAAATTCGTGGGAGCGTTCTACCTTTGAATAAGTAATCGCTCTCCTAATTTTTTTACTTTATTACTTCTTTATTTGATTCTTTTACGGTAGCGTTAACCGAGGCTACCCAACTGCCAATCGAAACACGATGAGTCACTTACCATTAGTGGATCTTTAGAGCACTACGTGCAGTAGAGGGCAATTTACAAAGGAAATTATTCACACTGCTGACCTTCCGCAGAACTTGAAACAACGCCAATAACAGCTTACAGTACGAGTACTCGTATTCAAGTTCGATCCGACGAAAAGTCACTTATAACATGCAACACCTTTAATATATCAAAGTCCCTTTGTAACATCAAAGAAATTATCCCCAAAAGTTCATCAGATCAGGGCGTCACCAGTTACTGCAGTTTATGTGAAGGATCTAAGACCTTAACGAAACGTTTTCTATTGCATTTCACTAACCTACAATTTACTTTTTTGCGCTTACAAAAATTGCCACGCCAAAGCCGCGATACTGCTTTTATAAAGTACAAAGCAGGCATTCCATGAATACAAAGTTTGGATTAGTAAGTCAGTCCATCGCAGGAATATTTTACGCCGTCATGCAAATATCAACCAATAGGTTGTCATTTCATGTTTCCCTTTGATAGCCAGAAGACCTCGTGGTTCAAGAACGAACAGGCAGAATTTTTCCAGTAGTGACTGACTGTCAGGACTTAAATGAATATGGTTAGGTAATCCGTGGCTGCACATCCTGGAAGCCATGTTAACTGTGTCCCCAAATCTATAAATATCTTCAATCATATTTAATGGGTCTCCACTAGGGAAGGTAATGCGTCTCAGTGGACTATAGTATGTGGTGAGACCGTCTCACCACATATTATAGTCATTTATCTAAGCTATTAGCTCTATTTGTCTTTATTTCTTTTATTTTGCCTGCTTTGATGGTTAGACAAACCTCACATAAACAATAAATAAAGCGTAAACAGAAAACATAAACAATAAATTTATTTATTGTCTATGTGAGGTTTTTCTAACCATCAGAGCAGGCAAAATAAAAGAAACAAAGACGAATAGTGCTAATAGCTACCTAATGAAAAATTAAAACGTTTACTTCCTAAGGTATCGAAAGATTTTTCTGCTTAGGCTTTGCGTAGTTGTGAACTTTAGGCACAATGTCGTGCGCTTTTATTTCGGATAAAACTTTGGCTCACTTTTTAGTAACAGACTGAGCTTAGACATGTAAATAATAAAAATTGTGGAAAATTATTCAAAACTATTATCACACTGATCTTGTCAACCACCAGCGTGAAAGGATATTTGCACGTACAGGCAGTAGCGCGGGCGTTTCTGTCCCATCAATCCAGCTGCGCAAGGACCTAAAATCAGTGAAATCTTGTCATAAAATCACAGATATGAGATAGGTATACAATACAGCAATACACGGTACGTTGAAATCAAATAGATCTACGCAAATACCAGAATGAAAACCAATCTTGAATTGCAGCATCGGCATAAATGTCGACTCCGGTTGAACTCTTATTAGCCTTGTAGAAAATTCGGCAATTCTCGCAACATGATCGTTTCCAATTCTCTCTGGCAGTCCACTAGCTACCTGCATAGAAGTACCCGAAGTGGTTATTTGACCACGAGGCTACGTACGTACAATACATGTATTGTACAGAAGCGTGTTTAATATCGCTCTTTGGGGAAACTAATCGTAAATCGGTTAATACAATTATTGATTACCATTACCATAAACGAATCATTAACTGCCTCCACTTTGTAGACATTTCCTTCGGTTGACAATTTGTCGATGCACGCCTCAGTGGCCGAAATTAAATGCAGTGTTGTCTCAGGTGGATGCGTCTGAATAAAGTCAGGGAATCCATACAAATCGACGAACAGTATGGTTACGCAGTCAAAATATTCGGGCAAAACAGTTTCACCAACTCGCAGAAGCCGTGCAATAAACCTGGAATAATAAGTGGATAAAATTTAAATCACGTATTTATTGCGCACTATATACGCAAATTTTTTCATACCTTGGAAGGATCTGATTGATAACAGCATCGCATTTGTTCATTTCAGTCTTTAGTTCGTTAGTTCTGATCGCTACCTGTTCTTCCAAATCGGCGGAGTAGTGTTCCAGTCTCGTCCGTATTTTATCGATAAGAGCAGATTTTTGTTTGTTGCTAGCCATCAGAGAACTGACTCGCGCCATCATGTGGCGAACGCTGTTTATGTCCGGCCGCTGAACCGGATCGGCGTTAACACATGATCGGATAATTTGTTCAAATTCAGGCAGAAGTGAGTATAATAACAAGTCTGGGAGATTTCGGAAGTCTTGGTCGTCTAAATAGTTGTTAAATTCACTGTCACCTTAATTGTGACGCAAATATGTACATGACACGAGACAACAGTGTCATTCACCTTTGAGAGTAGCTCGAATTTTGCCATACAGATTCCCCATGGTTAGTATATCGTAAATGATTAAACCTGACGAGAAGATATCAACCATTTGTGATGATTTAGAGATCTCTTTCCCTTTCTCCGTCATTCCGGGTGGCGTCCAGTAAGCGCGTTCCCAAACAGCGTTCTGGCACTCAGTTGTGGTAAGATCGCTGCATGCGCTACATAAGCTGCGTTGTAACCTGTCTGATGCCAGATGTCCTAATTTGAGCGTGAAGTGCTTGTCCACCCAACAAGTCAGAACACTTAATCGACCATGGTATTGCAAAGACGAGGAATGAATATATCGTACTGCCTGCAAATTGCGAAAAACAAACTGATGCTCTGTTCAGTAGCATCAGAATAATATATTTAATAACGAATCTTACTTCGAGGTAATCCAAAGCCAGAGAGGTCCTAAGAGTCGCATCTTTTCTAGCGTAGCTCTCGAATATGTCCAGTAAGGAACCCCTCAAAGGGTGCTCCAATACGGCGGTTACCCAGTAAATACCTTTGGAGGACTTTAATATGGCCAGTCCAAAAAACTTGCATACGTTGATATGCTCCATCTTGTTTAGCTAGCAAACAATACGAACAACCCTGAACTCATACAAGCCAACATTCCAAAGGTCAGAAATTTAATGACAAAGCATGTACAACAGACACAATTACTGAAACCGTGGTTGTTTTTTCAATATTAAGCAAGGGTGTACAAGGCGTACCATGCAGGGCACGGTCAGAGGCTCCCTCCTCAGAAAAAAAACCTGAATTGTTTTTTGAAGACGTTGAGTAGGTACTGAGAATACTTAAAAAGTATGTTCATCGGCAATGGTCCAGTGGGCGGGGCCAAAAACAAATTTAGGCATATTATAACACGCATCGTATCCATGGTCAATGTAAAGCACAAATTCCCATAATCCTGGTTATACTGGTGAAAAATTATGTTCCGAACCCTGACTGCCGCCCGAATGCTCTGTTAATTGTTATAATTGCAGACTTGCCCTTTGACTAATTTTCAGCAACTTGTTTTACAACATAACATTTTCAGAAAACCTTGCTGGTATCCTATTTAATTGAATTGCCTTCACTTATTTCTGTATTCTTAAATTTCTTTAGTGTGCTGTACCACGCAGGCACTGCTGGTTTTTCAGAGCTCAATAAGTACGGAAAGATTTCATAAAAATTTTACGGTGCCAAGCCAGTTATTAAATAAAATTTAGTGAGGAAGTCAAAATAGGAGCTTTTACCAGAATGGTTGGTAAGCAGTGCCAGACTTGGCCCATCTTTTAGGTGAGGTGAAAATTTTCACCATTTTTCCCAGCCCATCTCACCTTTTAGGTGAAAATGAGGATGAGGTGGGAAAGCGCCGCAGATGAGGTGAGATGGGCTGGGATCGTTGAAAGATGGGATGGGACCAAGAAAACAAATAAAAATAAAAAACTTTGACATTTTCATCTGTTTTCTACGTTAAGAGCATGCAAAAATGCACCATTCGAGCTCCAAAAACAAAAAATTTTCCGCGCTTCGCGCGGATTTTATCAATAAGTGAGCATATTTTCTTAAGAACCGACTTTTTTTTCGCCCGGCAACTCTGTCGTGTGCGGAAAACTTGCAAAATTAGCGGCGTTGAACCTGTAAAAAATGGAGATGAAGATGAGATCGAAAAGATGAGATGGGCTGAAAATTTGAGTAGCCGGAGGTGGGCTGGGCTGGGAATTAAACTGTGAAGGTGGGGGTGGGATGAAAGTGGGAAAATCGAAAATGGGCCAAGTCTGGTAAGCACCATTTAACGGAAATACGTACTGCTTTCAGTGCAGTACATTGTCATAAATAGAGCATATCAATTTATTTTTGGCCCTGCCCACTGGACCATTGCCGATGAAAATACTTTTTTAAGTGTTCCCAGTACCCACCCTGTCTTCGAACAAAAAACGAAATTTTTCTAAACGGGGAGCCTATCTATGACTTTACCCTGGTTAGTATCTTTCATGCATCTTTAAGCATGAAAACGCCTTCGAACCTACCTTTCGGAGCAGAAGCAATAAATCTTTGTAAGCTGAGAAGCTAGAAAAAGTGAGGAGACTATCTTTACTCGAAATCTTCCAGCCCATAACCGGATTATTATTATGCGAACCAAAAATAATGGCACTGCAGGAGCTCTGCAAGAAAAATTACACGTTACTGATAAATTACATGCTACAAAGTACTGTGATGTGATATCACATTGTGTGTACGATGACATCTTTGTTACTTTGTTCCGCTATTTGTTCAAAATAAAGCGGGGAAAGAAAAAATCTTTTGAGAAACGAAAGCATTTACCGGTGGGCAGTCTGGTGCGCCAAAACAAATACCGGGTTCTTGTGCGATGTTGTCCGAGCATACTTCTTCTGTTCTTCGTGGGGTCAGGGTCAGTGGGACGGAACCACAAAACACCGCTTGACAAGGTCGATTTTGTTGCACATGAACTTGCCACCATGGTTCATGGAGTAACTGATTTTCAGCTTTGAATTTAATGCGCCTGTAAACGAATTTGTTGGGAGTACGAGCCAAGTCTTAGCCCTAAAATTTTAATTCAGATGTAATAATCACACTGCATGCCATATGGAAGCTCCGATTAGACAAAAAACTGCCAGCGTAAAGGTCCAGATGTACGTCGATCTGCCGCTTCCTAAAATGCAAAAATTACTGTGATGTTATTTACGTGAACCGTATCATGCCGCATATAACTGAATAAGCACAAGGTTTGTACCAAAAGAAGAAAGTCAGCGGGGTTAATACGGATCAGCCGCTCTTGCATTAATACGATATTCCGAAACCCAACTTACAGTACAATGCTATCGTATATACGCTCCCGTGTTTATTAACAGTAATGTTACTGTTGCGGCTCGACCAAGTTATACCAGAGTTTGTGTACGGGAAAATTGCAAGCGCGCAGCGTGTGCATGCCCATGCATCGCATAATGCACACACTCTGGATATTGTTTTCCCGTACACAAACTCTGTGGTATAATTTAGTGGAGCCGGTACAGTATTATTATTACTAAAAAGCTATTACTCTTATTAAAAATTGCATCTTGAATTATGAAATATTTTGAAGAATCAAGATGTGCCACTTGCTTGGTGTTATACAAGACAGGCGTTGGTTTAAATATCCACAGCTCGGTTCGTTGGGAGGAGGAAAAGGAGCACCGACCCATGTCGTTAAATGTGCGATTTCTACCAGATCTTTCGTGCCTCCAAACTTTTGAAGCATGGGCTGCGTAATGTTGGATGGTTGAATAACATTGGTGGATATAACTAAGCTTGAGAAATGACGTCACCTCACGACTTCCGTTCGCGTTGATATACGATACCGTATAATCAGTGCGACGTTGCCCTTCACTGTCAATGTACATACTGTTGCCAAAATCGTCGCTAAACGTTTGGTTAAGGAAGCGTTGGGCCAGTGCCGCGCCACTCCATTCCGCCTTTGTGGATAAAGTGTCGTTAATGACCTGGAGAGGTGAAACAAAATTATTATAGTAATATTAATTCCACTCCCCCACTGATTAATCCCTGCTATATCCTCTTTTACAAATAATTACGTTGCTGGAAATGAACTTAACCTGGGCAAGTGCAAAGACACTGGTGTATCCGCTAGCGATAAGGACGTATGGCTGCACAAAAATACAACAAATTAAGAAAGCTATGTAGCTCTGCGCTAGCCTACGTTTGTTCCGTTTTCCTACTTTCTCAAACAGCGGGTATGTGTAATTGAAATATGTCTTGGTGCGTCGGCGAAATTCGCTGTCAAGCTGCGCTCTGGAAGAGCTGTTCTTCGTGATGTCTGCTGGGTGCACAATTAGGACAGATTGGAAAGCTTGTAAGAGAACCTAATGAGAATTTTAATAAGTACCTAATTATTCTGCGGGCATCAGAGTTACTGGGTTTAGGCAATGCAGTTTTGCAAAACAAGGGAACACACAATGTCTTGTACTAGTATATGTTCTTTCTATCCGGTATGCATCCTGTTTAGTTCCTTTATAATTGTATTATTGGAGATGTTGCATACATAATGCACTATTTGATATAACTACACTACAACAAGCCGGTAAATCGGATCGGCATGATAATACACAATGGTGCCAATTAAGTTTACGACATTCAAAGTGACTTGAAATTTGACCAAAATGTCTAACCCAAAAAATATCAGGCCAACAAGACGGGCAGGCAAAAATTTTTAGACAGAATCCTGGCTTGAAAACTCTCGCTCTACCATGTCCGTCACAAAAAACTGGCAAAGCAAATTGTGTGACTGATGTCACAAATTTATGAGTGCAGTATGTGCGGAAGTCAGTGCAGTAAAATGCAGCATACAGAGCGTCGATGTCCGAGGCTGCTTATTATTATAAAATGGAAAGGACCTGATAGCTATATACTGTAACTGTCAGCCCCTCGTTGGGCAATCTCGTTGGATATGACCTTTAGCCCAGAATCGACATACCGAATCGTTCTGGTCGCCAGTTTTCCAAGTAATTGGGAGAAGGATGTTATTTTCAGACAGAATGTAAACCTGTAATGACCATACAGTATCTTACGCCAGTGTAAAAGTATTTGCCAAAATATAATGATTTTTAATACAATGATTTTTGCAAAACACATTTACTGCTTACATGCCAGCTACAAAGCAAGCGCAAGCTAAACTCACATATTCTCCATTTGTCATATTCAGCGATGCAGCTGTAAGCTACAAAGATTTATTCGTCAAAGCTCATAGGCAATTGCAAACTGAATAATATCATGCGTTACCAGAAATTCCCGCAGAACCTGTCCAGAGCCAAAATAGAGTACTACTGAAGCAAAAATACATATTATCAGCAAAACAAAAGTTTTAAGAGCTGGTTTGTTACCTCTGGATGTTGCACGAATGTCTTGCAAAATTGGTCCAAATCTATGTCCTGACTGAGCATTAATTTTCCTAACAGTATATAGTATACGTCTTTGACTGTTTAGATGGATCATGAACGTCTTCACCAAGCCGATATAAAAGGAAGGAGAGTTCGGGTCAATGACCACCGTTATAGATGTCCAGTTGAAGTTATGCAGGATACCAATAAAAAGTTCGGCCCATTCGGACAACGAAAAATAGTTTGTGTTTATGTGTGTCGGATACAGCAACCGATGATTTGGTGCAAAAGCGCCGAGTCTATCAACATTTTAAAAAGTTTTAAACATTTTCAGAATAAATATATAAACATATACTTGAAGAAACACCTGATCAGACATTTGAATAGATATAAAAACAAATGTGAAATATGGCCTTGTATTTAATTTTTCGAGATTGTATTTATAATGTATTTAGGTATTATACGGTATTTATAATGTTTAGTCCTCTGTTACGTTGCAATCCACAAAACATCCCATTCGGTATACAGGTGAGCCACTGTTTCTCCACAGGCTGCAAATTTGTAAGTTACGAAGATGGTAAAAATTATTTTGCAGTAAGGATTCAACATTTTTACCTGGAACGATGGAAACGAAAAGGTCGTGCTTGTTTCTCCTACGATAATAACATTCAGCCGTCATTTCCTCAGCAGTGGCAATAAGGTCAGCACATGTCCGGCCTTGGACACTATCCAGCTGGAAATTTATGGTTGTGTTGTACATCTTTTGCACCCGCTCAACAGCATAAGACAACCCCGGCTCTAGATATGGCAAACCCGCATAGCCTTCGTTTGTAGTGTTAATGCCTATTATTAACAAGCTGACATTAAGGATGCCATCCGGCTTCTGGTTTTGACTCGGCAGTGGCAGTGTATTAATGTCCACAACGAAAAACATTATGATATACAAAGACAACATTAAAACTGTTTTTATTAGGGTCATGGGAACAGACTCATCAACACTACAAACGAACTAAAGCGTTCAGGCAGCACTTTTAGGAAACAAGATTCTGAGGAACCAGGTTCGGTTAGGTTCCACGTATTTCGGCGCGATGGTTAAACAACGTTTGTTCCTAACATTCTGCAAAACCTTATAAAATTTATGTGTAGATTTTATGTACAGCTCACAAAATGGCAAGTTATCTGTAGCACAGATACGGAGAAACCGTCACAAGAAAATACTGCAGTAACAGTCGGCAAACAATAACTACACAGATTATAAGAGAGCTCTGTCGGTGCAATGCTGAATGTGCTATCTCATTTCAGTGCAGTATAGGAACGGGATCAGGCAGATGGACATATTGGTGAATATTAATGTCATAATGGGTTCGTGGGAACACTTGTGTTCTGTTCCAGAATTTGATTTATTCAGCTTTGGATCACATGGCATTTTCGCAGTGGGAGAGAAGGGCGAACATTACACACGATCAACACTGAATGCCACATTATCGAGCTCAAGACGATCAAATGTTGGTCGCACGTATTCCCTAAACGCTCTCCCGAAATCCAGCTAGCATCATCGTCATGCCATGCATACCAAATATTGCCAAGTACTACAACGAAAACGCGATCAGTCATAACTCTTAAGTCTTAACTGAGTACAGTACTTGTTCGTCGATTGTATAACGCAGGAGTTAAAATTGCTATAACTAACCGGTTGTTGTTAATGACAATGTTTGCACCCGGCGAGGCATAAATTACGCGATTGGAAAAGCGTTGCCTTACGATCTTTATGGCGCTAGGCAAAATTGTCGCCATCGACATTGCCAAATAAATATTGAGAAACATCTCGCTGCGCTTGATGCAAATGATTGCAGTATCACCGAAGTGCATTATATTGTACCAAAGCGGGCAAAGCCTATTCATAAATTGGGCTTTTTTACAGTATACCGGTATCAGGCACGATTTGGATCCAGTTTACAAAATACTCGTAATTTTAAAATAAATACTTATGCTTACAACAAACGAAATTTCCGTAAAATTTGTGTGTTGTCGAAAGCACGGAATGGGAATGGAGCGCTGAATTAAATACCCGTAATCGGCTTCGGCTCGAGTACTGAAGTGCGTACTCGAAAGGTACGTGTTGGAAAATCTCATAAATGCCATAATTGTCATTAATGTTTGCAAATATCGAACAACAGCGGAGGCGTTGTGGCGCAATCTACCCTGCTGAGCATCGACGTGCAGTGCTGCATTCATCTCATGACTGTTGATGCACAAGTAAATTGGCGTAAATACAAGTTTTCTAATATTACTAAAGGTAAGTAGACTGAACTACGCTAATTTCCGGTACATAACACAAGATTGTTTGCGTAATGTGTATTTTCATACCTTAAATTGTGTTATCCAGCATACCTTCGCGAAGTACGATCAGACTTCCGCTTTTCTGAGCAGATGTTAAGCAGTAAATGGTTTCTCATTTATAGGTTTCTCGAAATTAAAAAACCCCTTCGGCCGACAGCAGAGTTACCCTCTTTCCTATTGGATATGGGGAATTCCACACATCAATTCCATTTCCAGTGGTACGTCTCATTTTCACGTGTTACTGGAAATGCATAACAGTTGCTCGCGCTCGGTGCAATGATGTGGTTACCAACCACCACTAGTAAATAGTTTGGATTATCTATACCTAAGCCATAAAAGATCGCAGCTGGTACTACCATCTTGTAAAACTACGTACGTACATAAGTGCAGAAACTAATACGGTAATACGGGCACGGGATGAATGAAGGTTTGTGATAAAGTGCGCCGCTTGGTTAACGTAACAGAAGACAGCCGCTGGTTCAAATATCCACAACACGGGTTTGTTTTTTTGTAAAAAGGAAATGAAGCGCCCACCCATGTCATCAACCGCATTGTCTCCGACAGATCGTCGGTGTCGCTAAAGGTTTGCAATGTTTGCAACAAGGGCTGTGTAATGCAGAAAAGACTATGTTGCGGCAGTTACGTATTTCTTGAATAGAAATACTCGTACACTGTATATGGACTCGCGGCTTCTGTTTGCTTCGGCTTCTTTCAATGACGATATTCATGCTGTTGCCATAGTCATCACCTAAAGATCGGTTACTGAAACGCTTCGCCCATGCCAGTTCTCTCTCGGCTGCCATCTTCCTTTCCGCTATCGTATCATCGATGGCTTTGTGATCCTATGATTGGCGCGTTCTGAACTCCATTTTTGTTCTCTGAGATTAATCCACCAAGGACCGATTAATCCGACCTGTGCAAGTGCGAAGATTGTTCTATATGCGCTAACGATTAGGGTATACGCCTGCACGTCTGTGACGAAATTCTGTGTCAAGCTGTGCTTTCGCCAAGCTGTTTTTGGTGTTATCAGTCAGATGCACAATCAACACTGATTGGAAGCTTTGCCGCAGGATCTGACAAACATTGTCAATTATTTAGTTTACACAGTAGAGTACCAGCATTTCAAGTATCAGTGCGATATGTGCTCTTGTAAAAATGCGTCCACAATTCAAATTTCTATTCTGTTTAGGAATTACTATAGAACTGGGGAAATGAAGTAAACATATCAATGGGCTTAACATAAACACTGGTGACCCCCTTGAATGCCGGAGTCCGGAAAGAAATATTGAGAATGCAGTACGCATCTGTGTTATAAACCAGGAAAGCGCAGAATAGTACTTATGTTAGCAACACAATCACGTGTAAAGCCATATATCATATTTCCTAGCAGTAATGGCCATTAAGTCGCATCGAGAAGCTAATGGCATCATAATGGAAGGGGCCAGTACGTGGTCATTTCGTATTTTCCTTTTATCATTCGTATTCCTCTTGATTCGACAGTGAACTGACTGAACCATTCCAAAAGCGATTTGCTGTCCGGACTTAAATGAATGTGGTCGGGCAAGCCATGACTGCACATCCGGGAAGCCATGTTAATGGTGTCCCCAATTCTGTTCAATATGTACTCGAGTTTTTGTACAAACACTTTTGTAGACAGTGTTATAAAACAGCTTGAAATTCGGATGCGGTTCTTTTTACCCTCCAAATGATTACTACAGAGTGTGCAAGGAATGTGCCAGTGTGCATAAAGGCCTGCATATACAGATACCGAGATACGTACTGTAATTTAATTAAATTGAGTGATTTTAGTACGAGTATCGATGTTTAAACCGTACACGCAGTAACGTGGTCGTTTTAATCCCATAAGTCCAGCTGCACAAGGCCCTGAAAATACAGACACTCTCTATCTGTAAACCCACATTAAATTCAAGGAACGTAGAAGTCCTACCAGAATGAATACCAATCTTGAATCGGAGATCCCGCAAAAAACTCAACTGTGGTTGACTAGTTAGCAGCCTAATTGCGAAAGCTGCAATCCGTTCGATATGCCTTCGACCGATTATTTCTGGTAACCCGCTAGCCACCTGTTAACATTTCGGACGTGTCAAGCAAACCCAACGAGTGTTATAGTAGAATTACAGCTGTTGAGTTGATGAACCGAATCGTCATTTACCATAAAAGAATCGGAAATTGCTTCCACTTTGAAGACGCCACCTTCCGATGACAGCTTATCGATATGGGTTTCAGTTGCTGATATCAGATCAATCGTAACTTCCGGTGGTTCTGCCTTAATGAAGTCAGCGAACCCGTACAGATCGGTAAACATGATTGTTACGCAATCAAAACAGTCGGGTGAAACCTTTTCTCCAGCTCGGAGCTGCTTGGCCACAGATCTGTCCGAAGCCCATACCGTACACTTGACGCAAAGATGCCGCAAAATACAATGTGTTGAACGTACAACTGCAAGAATTTATTTTCCGTACCGTGGCAAAATCTGATTGATGATAGCATCGCATTTATCCATCTCTTCTTTCAGCTCGTTTGTTCTAATCGCCACTTGCCGCTCCAAATCGGCCGAGTAAAGTTCCAATCTGATACAGATGTTTTCAATCAAAGTGGTCTTTTTTTTACCACGATCCAGGAGAGGGCTAGCGCTTGCCAGCGCACGACAGAGATTCTGTATATTAGGTCGATGATTTGGGTTAAAGTTCAGGCATGATCGAAGAATGTTTTCAAATTCCGGTACGATCGAGAAGGTTAGACTTTCCGCAGTGTTGTTGAGGTTCCTGATTTCTGTAAAGTCAAATATGAAGTCATTATTGCTTTAGACATTACTTTTGCCCCAGAATTGCTTTAGACTTTACTTTTGCCCCAGAATTGTAATTTGTAAGTCAGAATGTCAGATCAACATTAAAGTCATTATGTGCACTTACGCCGTGCGGCATTACCTTCTGCGGAAAATAACCTGACTTTAGCGAAAAAGTTGCCTGTAGTCAGTATATCGTATATCATCAAACCGGACGAATAAATATCCACAATTCGCAGAAACTTGCTGTTTGGCATGTTCGCTGTCTCGGGTGGTGACCAATAGACAGTTTCCCAAATAGCATTCCGACATAATGTCGAAGTCAGATCACCACACATACTGTGTAGATTTAGTGCTAATTCGTTGGATGCGAGGTGCGCCACCTTAAGTGTGAAATGTTTATCCACCCAGCAAGTTAAAATACTAATTCGTCCATGGGATTGTAAGGAGGAAGAATGAATATACTGTATTGCCTGCAATCAGCCAAACTATATAGTCAGTTATCCAAGTGAAACATGAATGCTTCGCTTCAAGATAATCCAGAGTTAGCGAGCTAAGCAACGCCCCATCTCGACTTGCGTAACTGTCGAAAATGTCCGGCAAAGCACCCCGTGAAGGGCATTCCGTGACTGCTGATATCGAGTAGATTCCTTTAGAAGATTTTGTTATGGCAAGGCCAAGAAACTGGCAAATATTGACATGCTCCATTTTGTTTAACTGCAGAAAAACACCCTATTCAATTGCAGAAGTAATCGTCAGATTTGGGATGTCAATGATACCTTGTGAAGCAAAACCACCAATTCGTTGTTGCCAGAAATGTCGGTAAAACTGATTTGATAATTCCTGCTAGATACTGTCCAGCTCATAACTGGTTTGGTTCGGTATGTGCCAAAAATGACGGCGCTGCAAAGGCTCTGCGAGAAATTCCACCGGACTAAAAATGTTACCAACAAGAGATATCGTATTTGTGCCTTACTCGTGTCCAGCTGAATGCAGAAGGAAGGTCACTTGATTCATACGAAATTTGATCGGAATAGAGTTGTAGACGTAGGAGAGAACGATAGGATGCAGTTCGTCGACGCGGTTTTTCTTGCAGGTGAACTTGCCACCAAGGATCGTGGAGCAGTTGATATCTGGCTCTCAGTTTCCTAAATCTGAAAAAACAGATAATTTCCTGGTTTCATAGCGAGATTAACTATGTTCAAGCTACTTACATAAGACAACCCATAACAAGAATATCACCAACCACTCCGAGAGCTATCGCAATGACTGCTGTCGAAGGAATATCCCCTGAAATTTACACGGAGTACCGACCATAATAATTTGGGTAAGTATTTATCGCATTTGACTACTTAGGTATGCAAGAAAAAAACATAAATGTCTTTATGAATAACTTCCGAGAACTGTATCTTATGAATAACTTCCGAGAACTGTATTCCCTTACTTGTTGCAAGGCAATATGGCTTCTGATTCAGATATCCGCAATATGGTTCACTGGGAGGAGGGAAAGAAGCGTTGACCCACTTTGTCAACTGTGTCACGTCAATTAGAACCCCGGTCCTTCCCTCCTTATACAACAGCGGCTGTTTAAAAACCAAAAACTTATACTGTATGGGTTTAAAGTTTTGAAATTTTCTGTATTTATTCGGCATACCTCGCGATTTCCATTGGCATTAAAAAATGATATCACGAAATCAGTGCGTCGCTGCCCTGCGTTATCGATGTACATGCTGTTGCCGAAATTATCAACGAACGTTCGATTGGACAAGCGCTGCACGAGCGCTGCGCCGCTCCATCGTACTTCGCCGCCTGACGCTATGGTCTCGTTAATAGCCTGGGAAAACGTACAAGAAAGACTGTCCACAGCGAGGTACAGATGAACCTTGAAGGTCATTATCATGGCTCTCGTTCTTTTATTTTAGAGCACCAAATGTGCAACTTCATTGAAAACAAATCATACCTCGGCAAGCGCAAATATAGTCGTGTAGCCGCTAACGATCAGAGGATATGGCTAACAGAAAAGAAAGGGCCAATACATAAGAACGTTTTGAGCACCGGTTAAACCTGCAAATGTTTCGATGTGCCCAGTTCAAAGAACACCTGATCAGAAAGCAAGTAGGTCTGGTTGTAGTCTCTTTCGGTCTTTCGTAGGAATTCTGAACCCAGTTGCCTTTTTGCACTGGTATTTGTAATGCTGTCCTTTGGTTGCATCATTAAGACCGACTGGAGGGCTTGCAAAATGATCTAAAGAGGTTTAAACAGCAATGCTTCTTTTCACTGTGCTTTACACATTTATGTAACGAATCCCAGCGGCTTTGCCTCTCTTTATTTTATGAAATTGTAATGACATTTTTCTGATTATTACGGATATTTAAGAGTCTCCGGATCGGACTGCTGCTCAAGAATCTATCAATGTTCGGCACTTATTACCAGATCGTATTTATCCCCAGTTGGCCAGTGCAGTGGACGTAGAAGGTTATTTTCCGGGATAATATAAACCTGATGATACTGCATGTATTTTCATTACATACGTTACATGAAATGGAAAAGAGGGAAAGCTGAAACTTACATATTCTCCGTTTGTCATGTTCAACAATGATGCAGTGAGCTGAAAAATTAGTACTAAAACATTGACAAATAACCGGTTATATTAGCGCAGTAATAAACTTTTCTAACCAAAAATTCCCGCAGCACCAGTCCAAGGCCAAAGTACAGCACCACTGAGAATGCACACATTCAAAAATCTTTTTTGAGATGTTTAGGGTTTTATTACTAGTATAAGTTAGGTTATACCTCTGCTAGTTGCACGAACATTTTCTAAGAGAAGTCCAAATCCCCCAAAAGGACCACCGGGTTTCGGGGATATGTTTCTAACAATTGCTCTAATGTCTCTCTGATGTTTTAGATTGATAAGGAACATTGATGCCAAGGAAAAGTAAAACGGTGGAGAAGTGTTATCTATGACGACAGTTACTAAAGTCCAGTTATATTTCATCAAAATTTCGATATAAAGCTCTCCAAACTCAGACATCAAAAGATAATTGGTGGACATCCATGTCGGATACGAACGTCGATCGCGGATTTCAAGACCGCCTCCCCTTATTTGAAAAACCACATAAGAAAAATATTAAAATTTTAACCAAAATTTTCTTAGGCGAACGAAAGACGAATTTTTTATCGCTTACGGCGAAAACCATAACGTATCCCATTGTGTATGGAAATATGGCATGTCCGTGTCTACACCGCATCCTACAAATCCAAGCTAGTGTAGCTCAATATGCACAAAAATTTTACAGTATCGTTGACAGAAACTACTGCAGCTAGTGTTATGTCACCAACTTCAAATAAACTGCATTAACTATACACGTATGCTTGCGAGCACTTGCCGCTCACTAAAAATTCAAAATGATTATATTACCGGGTACAAGGTAAATGGTAAGATCGCGCTCGTTTCTTTTCCGATAATGCCATTCAGCTAGCCTAGCGATGGTACTGGCATTCCGCTCTGCGCATGTCCGATCGGAAAGGTAATTTAGCTTGAAATGGATGCTACTGTTGTATAGCTTCTGCACTTGTTCAACGGCTAAGGAATACCCTGGTCCTGTATACGGTAGCGCCCCAAATCCATCCATGGCGATACCCCCAATCACCACAAAGCTAACCGTGTACGAACTACCATGCAGATGCTGATCTTGATTAGGAAAGGTTTTTGTTATCGCAACACAGACCACCAACAACAGCAGAGCGCGTAATGTGATGCTTCTGCTCGGTAACATAGTACCCAGCTCAATAGTACTCAGTCTGGTAAAATATTCTTGCGCACTGCCATAACATTTCAGTAAAATGTGGATGGCATGATGTTCAATTTCTTCTATAAACTGAAATAAATAAATTTCACATGTTCCTTACCCTTACTGAGACAGAACATGAGTGCAATGCTGTGGTTAAGCGACACGTTCAGTAATCGTTGTATTAAAACGCTAGATAAAGCACAGTCACTAAAGAATTAACGAACATGGAAGATGTACTCGTACAAAGTAGATTTTCGCAGCTGACTGAGCGCAGCTACCACCTGCGTAGTTTTTAGGGCCATGCACTGTCATTACAAAACATACGAGGGTTACTCGGAAAGTAATGATAATCAGTATCAGTTAATAATCATAAAATTATGCACTGATTTTTTAAAAACTGTAGCATTCATAACTAGATCATAGGGCAATGGCCGTGGCCATACCGCCTAAGGTTGGCGGCTAGCAAGGCTCTGAACATGGCTGGGTAGCGCTGATTTTTCACTGATCACTGAAAGCGTTGCCTTAATTACTGGCCAGTTTTCATGATATTATTTTGAAAAATTGATTTGCAGAGAGAAGTGTAGAATTTTTCATGCTGTATTGCCTGTTCTGTCGCCTTAATAAGGACCATTCTTTGCTGATGTTGCCAGTTGGTTCCAGCGAACTCCCACCGAGCACTCCGTTTTGACAACGGTGCTCAAATTTTGGAATATTTTTTTGAGTTTCCACTTTCGAAAAGTAATCATAGTCAAAACCCTGATCGAGAAGGATCCTTTTCCGACCCCGAAGCAATAGCAGAGGGTCTAATCATTATGGAAGGAAAGGTGTCGAGAGTGTGCTGCAGCTGCTTACTGATAACGCAGAAGAAAATGGTTTCTGGCACGGTATCATCCGTGTGGTGCAATATCGCGAAAATCCACAGATAAGCACCCCGTCCCTGATTTATTTTTTTTTCTCGGCCTGGAGTAAAATTATCGTTCCACATTATTTTTTCTTAGTTTACCTTAGTCCTTTATCTGTTCCAAATATTTCCTGGCTTGAAAAAATTGTTGCGGGGCAAAAAGTTTGAAATTATGAATAACTGGAAGAAAATATCAGTACACCGATCTCTAAGATACCGCCTAATTTCTTTTCGAAAACGTTTGATGAGTGGCTGTTTAGCTGTTTGCGTTGTATAGAGATTAAGGGACATTGTTTTGAGAAAATACGAGGAAAGCGCTGATGCAATAAAAAATCGTGCGATAGTTATCATTACTTTCCGAGTAACCCTCGTACCTTTAACATTTTATCAGTGTAACGTGGGCGCTGATGGGCCTGGCATCAACGGATTAGCACGACAGGGCAAGAACGTCATGAAAGTAACGCCGAATTCCTTCAAGGCATAGCACACGTTACTATTTCGATGGCATTACTGTGAAACGAGCTATGCAGACATCTGTCATTTGACAGACGAAAACCGATTCATGGGTTGCCAAGCTCGCCTATGCGTAACCTTTGACGTAAGATTAATTAGTTAAGTAGCATGTCTGCTGGCTGCTGCTATCGGTTTCCTGCAAGATTGGATGCCTGCCGGCGGAAAAGGGACATGAAAGACCGTGATGGGCGTAACAATCAACTGGTTTAGAACACTTCGTGCAGTTGTGCGGCTCACAAATCTTAACACCAAGTTTAAGCCCGACGGAGATTTTCAGGGTGACGGAGATTTTCAGCCCGACGGAGATTTTTTTCAGCCCGACGGAGATTTTCTTACAAATATCTAAACATGCTTGCAGTATACTGAGCGCTAGTTCCGCGTTTCGCGGGAAAGTTCATCTTAAACCGCATAAGTTATTACACTAAGTTGATATCAGCCCTGCGTTGCCCTTACTTTGATTACGGTTAAAAATTAAATGCTGTTTATACCGGTAATGTTAGCTTGTTTTTAGTAATTAAGGCTGTTTTTATTGAAATTTCTGGCTGGTTTTACTATAAATCGTTCGCTGGCTTCGCGCTTCGCGCGAAAGTTGCCGTTTTAACGGGATCCGTAATAATAGTTCGTGCTTGCGATTTGCATACCAGAACAATGTAAAATATCTTCCTTAAGTTTGTTTAACTCAATTTTCGTGGTAAGTTTCTGGGTTGATTGGATTTGTTGGGGATCTCATGTTTTTTACGCTTCTTCGGGGTCTAGTATACGCGAATAAACGATTCACGCTATTTCGCATAATGTCGTTATGTACAATGTACAAGCACGCCGGTACAATTATAACACGCAAAAAATATGCCCGTTATCCCTAACCCCCCCCCTTCTTTGCAAAAACTAAATGTGTTCACGTAAATGTTGAAGTTTTCTGGCTCTGATTTTTCGGCTTAGAATAATTAATTATTTCTGAGATTTAACGTCTGGGGTACTGCTCCAACTTTACGCGTGACACTGCGCATAGTATCAATGCGTAATGCGCTCTCGTAGAATGCGTTCACTGTGGAAATCTCTGTTCTGTTTATAAATTACTATAGCGCAGGGTAAATGGAGAAAATTTATCAATTTGCCTAGCGTAAACGCTAACCGCTCCCTAGAGTACCGCTCCCTACAGTAGCAGAAGAGTGTCCTCCTTGTTATAAACCAGAAAAAACGCAAAAAATAGTACTTAGCAGTAAAATCACATGCAGAGCCTTCATTATATAGTATACAAGAAACAGCCTCGGCTTCGCCTCCGCGTTTCTAGGGTTTTAAACTCCTCGGCCGGTTTGCGGATTGTTAACTTAGAACGGATAAATCCGAAGAGCCCGATAACAAAAAGTTTCTAAAAAAATGGATGTTTTGGTTTCGTGCAGTCTGACGCAATTACTTTGACCTTACAGGTAATTTTTGTTAAATTTTCGAAAAACTATCCGAATCTAATCATCCACGAGAGTACTACATTACAAACAAAAAGGACGCCTAGACTGGACACTAGGGCCAGATAGGTCACCCACTAAGAACTTAGCGGGCCCTGTTTTATTTTGCTCAGTAATATTGAAGTTTGGTCATACGTTCACCCAGCGGGCTCTGTGCACTGGATAGTATTGGTAGCTCGGGCACTAGATCATAACGGAGTTTGTGCACTGGACAGTAGTGGTAGCTCAGTCACCCACTTAACGGGTTCTGGGCAATGGACAGTGGTGGCAGCTCGGTCAATTACTCACCTAGCGATTTTTTGACGCACTCAATCACTAGGCGAGTGATTGACCGAGCTGCACCTGTCCAGTAAGAAAAATCGCTAGCTGAGGAAGTGACCGAGCTACAACTACTGTCCAGACCCCGTTAGGTGAGCAAGAGCAGAGCCCGCTCGGTCACTCACTCACCTAGAGATTCCGCTCAGTGGGCAGTTATGGTGTTTCGGTCACTCACTCGTCCAATGATTTTTCGTATTGATTTTATATTTGATATTTTTATATTTTATATCGGTTGATTTTAAACGTATTTCGAGCTCGGAAACACCGGCAACATGTTTGAATAACACGAGTGTTTGAATAAGCACAATAATTTATTATTTTTCGGTTTAATAGTGTAATATGTCAATTGGTATTTTTTATTGTATCTAGGCAAATTTTTTCCAAGTCCCAAGGTCACCTTGAAAGTGGGTTGAATCGTTTGCGGCGTCGTGCCGGCACGATTCTGGTTGAACCAATTCAACCAAAAACGGAAATCATGTGAGCCAGTTCTGGACCGAGGCCAATCAATTGGCGTTGTCAGTTTTTTAAAAAAATCGTTTTGATTATTGAGATCTGAAAACTATGGGGCGCCGCGCGTAGTATAGATCTTGTACCTAATATTTAAACAGTAGTGGGCCAGTGGCCAATAAATAGCATCGTAAAGCTAATGGCATAATCAAGGAAGGAGCCAGTACGTGGTCATTTCATATTTTCCTTTTATCGCTTGCACTCCTCTTGATCCGACAGTGAACTGACTAAAACGTTCCAAAAGCGATTTGCTGTCCGGACTCAAATGAATGTGGTCGGGCAAACCATGATTGCACATCCGGGAAGCCATGTTAATGGTGTCACCAAATCTGTTAAACACTCGAGCTTTTGTACATACACTTTCGCAGACAGTGGAGCAAAATGGCATTTAATTCTTATGCGGTCATTTTTAACCTCCAAACGATTAATTACAGAATGCGCTTGTGTACTACGTGCGCATGTGGGCATAAAGGCCAGCAGATATTGTAATTTAAAATAAGTAATTCGGGATACAATTAATTTAGCAACCATACACGCAGTAACGTGGTCGCTTTAGTCCCATAAGTCCAGCTGCCCAAGGGCCTGAAAATAGAAATACTCGCTAAACTCGCATCAAATGCAAAATACGTCGAAAAGTCCAACATACCAGAATGAATACCAATCTTGAATTGCAGATCCCGCAAGAAACTCAACTGTGGTTGACTGTTCAGCAGTCTAATTGCAAAAGCTGCGATCCTTTCGATATGCCTTCGCCCAATTATTTCTGGTAATCCACTTGCCACCTGTAAAGATTTCCCACGTATCAAGCAAATCAAGTTAGCATGAAAACTTTTTCGTTGATGAACCGAACCTTCAGTTACAGTACCATAAAAGAATCGCAAACTGCTTCCACTTTAAAGACTTCGCCTTCCGATGATAGCTTATCAATATGGGCTTCAGTTGCCGATATGAGGCAAATCGTAACTTCAGGTGGTTCCGCTTTTATAAGGTTACCGAACCCATACAGATCGGTAAACAGGATTGTTACACAATCAAAGCATTCGGGTAAAAACTTTTCTCCCGCTCGGAGCTGCTTGGCCACAGATCTGTCCAAAGCCACTATTATATACTTAACACAAAGATGCCGCATAATGCAACCTGAGGAACGTACAGGTGCAAGAATTTATTTTCCGTACCGTGGCAAAATCTGATTGATGATGGCATCGCATTTACCCATCTCTTTTATCAGCTCGGTTGTTCTAATCGCCACTTGCCGCTCCAAATCGGCCGAGTAATTTTCCAGTCTGATACAAATTTTGTCAATAAGAGTGGCTTTTCTGTTACCAGGGTCCAGGAGGGGACTCACGCCGGCCAGCGCACGACAGAGATCCTGTATATTAGGTCGATGTTTTGTGTTCACGTCCAGACAAGATCGAAGAATGTTTTCAAAATCCGGTACGATCGAGAAGGTTAGCCTTTCCGCAATGTTGTTAAGGTTCTTAATTTCTGTACAGTCAAATACGAAATCGTCAAAATTAATATAGATTTGCCGCGAAATTGTAATTCAGATTAACTAGACCTCTATGTAAAGTGCGCATTACCTTCCGCGGAAAGTAACCTGACTTTGGCGAAAAAGTTGCCCGTGGTTAGTATGTCGTATATGATCAGACCGGAAGAGTAGATATCCACAATTTGCAGAAATTTGCTGTGTGGCATGTTCGCTGTCTCGGGTGGTGACCAGTAGACAGATTTCCAAATAACATTCCGACATAAAGTCGAAGTCAGATCACCACACATACTGTGTAGATTTAGTGCTAACTGGTTTGATGCGAGATGCGCCTTAAGCGTGAAATGTTTGTCCACCCAGCAAGTTAAAATACTAAGTCGTCCATGGGATTGTAAGGAGGAAGAGTGAATATATTGTATTGCCTGCAATAAGCCAGACCATATGGTCACCTTTGCAAGGGAAAAACAAAGTTCTTACTTCGAGATAGTCGAGAATTAGCGAGCTAAGCAAGGCCGCATCTCTGCTAGCGTAACTGTCGAAAATGTCTGGCAAGGCACCCCGTGAAGGACACTCGGTGACTGCTGATATCCAGTAAATTCCTTTTGAAGATTTTGTTATGGCAAGGCCAAGAAACTGGCAAATATTGACATGCTCCATCTTTTTTAACTACAGAGAAACGCCGTAATTGGTTACTCGAATAGAAGTTATCATCGGATTTTGGATATTGATGATACCTTGTGAAGCAGAACCACGAATTCATTGTTGCCGGAGATGTCGGTAAAACTAATTTGACAATTTCTGCTGAATACTATCCACCTCATAACCGGTTTAGTCTTATATGTACCAAAAATAACGGCGCTAGAGAGACTCTGCAAACAATAAACCTGACGATGAATACTAGTGTCAACAAGGTATACCGTGCTTTACTCGTGTCCAGCTGAATGCAGCAGGAAGATCACTTGATTCATATGAAATTTTATCAGAATACAGCTGTAGCAGGAGCGAATAGCAGGATGCTGCTCGTGGACGTGGTTTTTCTTGCAGGTGAACCTGCCACCAAGGATCATGGAGCAGTTGATATCTGATTCTCAGTTTCCTGAATCTGAAAAAAAAACTTCACAATTTATTTCGTGGTTTTTTAGAGAGATTGCGTTCGGAGACTTACTTACATAAGACAACCCGTAACGAGAATGCCAACAGCCAATCCGAAAGCTGTCACAATAACTGAAGTTGAACGATTATCATCTAAAAGTTAAACGAACTATACAATGTTACAATGTACTGCTACGAATGTGCGGTTATTTAACTAATAAAATTTGTGAACTTTCGCAAGCGAAAAGCGATGGCAATTAGGGCAAACAAAATTGCGCGGAAGAATTTCCGGGCGCATAGCAAAATAACTACGCGCCAGAAAATTTTCCGGGCGCATAGCAAATTAACTATGCCCCCGGAATTTTTCCGGGCGCATAGAAACGACCTTTAAAAATTATAATAACTTATTTTCTGCTTATTATGGATACTTAAGAGACTACTGATCCGATTGTTTCTCTAGGATCAATCAATGTTCGGCAGTTATTACCAGATCGTATTTATCCCCAGTTTGCCACTGCAGGGGGCGTAGAAGGTTATTTTCCGGGATAACATACACCTGCAATGACAATGCATGCATTTTCAGCGTAAAGGTTAAATAAAATGCCAAAGAGAGAAGGCTGAAACTCACGTATTCTCCGTTTGTCATGTTCAATAGCGAGGCAGTGAACTAAAAAACTACGTAGTATCAAGGAACTAGATCTATAATATAACTACAAAAAAGCTGAGGCATCGAGATCGGAAAAACCAGAACCTAATAAAAAAAACTGTAAACGCCATTAGATTCAGCATGTTCAGAAACTGTGTCACATGCATTTTATTTCTTAAAAAAATTATTTAAACCCGTCCCACCGATGCCGGTTTCGGTAAAACTGGCTTCGGTAAAGCATTCAAGGTGACCTTGAGAATAATAGCAGTGCCAGTTGCTTAGAACATTTATTAAAGTGCTAAGTATGTACTTTAATAAATTTGTAGATATTTTATTTGCAAACATGCTGAATTTAATCGCCTGATTGCTGTTCAAATGCCTAAAAAATCCGATTCCCGAACCACGATTGAATTAGCCCAGGTTTCGAAAGAAACAAAAGCCAGTGAACAAAACTCGGCAGTGACCCAGCTACCACCACTGTCCAGCGAACAAAACGAAATCACTTGCTGAGTGATGACCGAGCAATAAATCGCTACCCTAGGTGAACAAAATCGCTAGGTGAGTAAGTAACTGAGCTACCACACTGTCCAGTGAATAAAATCGCTAGGTGAGTTAGTGACCGAGCTATCACCACTGTCCAGTGAACAAAACGAAATCACTATGTGAGTGATGACCGAGCAATAAATCGCTACCCTAGGTGAACAACGCTAGGTGAGTAAGTAATTGAGCTACCACACTGTCCAGTGAATAAAATCGCTAGGTGGGTGAGTGACCGAGCTACCACCACTGTCCAGTGAATAAAATCGCTAGGTGGAGTGACCGAGCTACCACCACTGTCCAGTGAATAAAATCGCTAGGTGGAGTGACCGAGCTACCACCACTGTCCAGTGAATAAAATCGCTAGGTGGAGGTGTTACGATAATGTATCGTTAATGTATAATTGCCCTTGAGCAATTCTGATGTACCGGTTTCCGATCTATGTCTTCACACATCTGACTGTGCGTGCGACTGTGCGTTCTCATACTATACAATACTGCTGTCTAATACTTAAGCATGCCGTTGAATACTGTGCATCACGTCTGTCTTAGCATACGCTAATAGCACGGTTTATACATGTACCAATAAAGTACCATGTATCATTTTGGTGGCTCCAGTGGCTCGTTATACATTCCAACTGTATAACACGGACCTTTTCATCCGTTATCAGGATTCCCAAGCCATGAAGTTTTTGTTTGAAAACAGGATTTGTAAAGGAAATGCCTAAAACTCCAACAGAGTTTCTTGGTCGTCTTAAGACTGTCGCTCGAGAAAAAGAATATGAAGCGGAAAGTGCCCGGAAGGAGGTAGCGCAGTATATTAAAAATCCGGTTGTCGCTGCTCTGTTTACTAATACAGTTGAGGGAAAAAGTGAGTGACGCATTGAGGAACGGATGGCCGCAATGGAACGACAATTTTCACAGCTAATGAGTAATGGCAATGGTTACCGCAACAATTACAATAACCGCCACAATAATCAGCGTGGGAGAGGATTCAACGGAAGAGGAAATAATCGTTTTAACGGCAACAGGAATGGAAGACGTAAATTCTGCAATTTTTGCAAGATTATTGGGCATACGTACGAAGACTGTCGCAAACGTATGGCACAACGTGCAATTCAACCGGCGATGGGCGTTGAGCGAGCTCAAATCACTGAGTTTTCGCAGAATGATTTAAACTGACAGCCGCAACTTCCAAGGCTCGTGAGGTTGACGGCACTGCATCGCTAATTCCATTATGCAGTTTCGCGACAGGCGCTTTATCATTCATGTTATATATTTTTAACGAGCCCATCACTGCAATTTTAGACACCGGTTCTGGTGTATCGCTCATTAACGAAGAATTTGCCCTCAAGCATAATTTACATAATATTTCATGGAAGGGCCCATCATTAGCCACAGTCACGAACAACATTGTTCGTCCGGCGAAGGCATGTCAGCTCGAACTCAGAATTCTTGGTTACTCAGCCAACGTCACTTTTGGAATCGTGAAGGATTTTCCATTTCAAATTTTAGTGGGAAATGATTATTTAAATAATTCCCCTTTCCTGGTCAGTTTCGCAAAGAAATTGCTAGTAAATCCTAAAACCTGGGATTCACTCAAAGTTGACTGTGTTCGTCTTCCGACGTCATACACTGTCATCAACGAGTCTAAGCAGATTACTACAGAAATAGAGCATGTTAAATGCGCGCAACCCAACATCAACAATACATGTTCTGGATCTGAAGTCGTTTGTAAAGATTTCGAAATTAGCCAGAGGAATACCATGTCTGCAGCATGTCCTACTGTGCCCGCGGCCCCAGGTAACAATGTTTCCACAACTCTTTTCTCGCCGCCCCCTGATTGCGCAAGTGGAACCCGTCCGGACCAGAAAGAAAATAAATCAATTAAATTAATAAGCCCGACAGACTTATTAATCGAAGCTTCGAAAAATCCAGGAACAGAAATTCCGGTTCAAGAGTTCGCAAAACAATTCAATTTTGGTGAAATGAACGCCCAACAGCAGATTGCCATGACGAAATTACTTTACAAATATCGCACCTTATTCCCGTCACAAACCAAGAAAGTTGGTCGTACAAATAACACTGGTACGCACCCTCCGATTCGTGAACAGTTACGTCGTCACGCCCCCTGGCAAAGAGATTTCATAAACAAGCAAATTAAAGAATGGTTGGAAGAAGGAATTATTTCTCCCTGCAATTCCGAGTGGGCATGCAACATTGTCCTCGTTCCCAAGAAGCCCCAAGACCTCCGACTCTGTATCGACTACAGACCGATCAACGAAATCACGAAAAAAGATTCCTATCCGTTACCCAGGATAGACGACTGCCTGGATGTCCTTCAAGGAGCGAAATGGTTCACAGGTTTGGATTTGTTATCAGGCTATCTTCAGGTAGCTATGGCAGAAGGTTCCAAAGACAAAACGGCATTCCTGACTCCAGACGGTCTATACCGTTTTGAAGTTATGCCGTTCGGGCTCTGCAACGCGCCCGCTACGTTTTGCCGCTTAATGGACAGTGTCCTTGGCGACATAAAATTCAAATACGTAATCGTTTACTTAGACGATGTTCAGGTCTACAGCCCTACGTTCAGCGAACATTTACGGCACTTGGAAGATGTCCTAATCCGGTTTCAATACGCAAATTTAATGCTAAAACCGTCCAAATGCTTCTTTGGATGCACTACACTGAACTTCCTTGGACATACGGTAACACAAGAAGGCATCCAACCGGACAAAGCAAAAGTGCTCGCAATCCAGAAAATTCCTCGTCCGACTGACCTGACCAGTCTACGTTCGTTCATGGGAGCAGCGAATCACTACCGTAAGTTTGTGAAAGATTTCTCCATAATTGCAAACCCGCTTAACAAATTAACGCAAAAAGATCAGCCCTTTAATTGGGGAGAGGAACAGCAAACTGCTTTCGAGACACTCAA